TTTAAAAAGTATCGAATAAAAATCCCTGAAAATTGGTGATAGTGTTAAACTTATATTTCTTTATAAATTTACCAATTTTTATAATTTTTTATCTATTGGTTTTTGAGAAAAATGGTAAAGAATTTCGTTTTGGGGGCCTTAAGTTTTCAATTTAAATTACTACAAAATTATTAACTTTAGAAGATAAATTTTATATAATTTTGCTTCAAATATGCTCAAGATTATATATTAATTCTAATTATGTTTCAAAAGTAGCCTATGCCATGAAAATTCAACCAAAATCTATAAATTAAAAAAGTCGGTACAGATATTTTCGAACTTTTTAATTTGTACACGAATTTTCTCTGCATAAGTCATTTTTAAAGCAAAATTAAGGTAATATTTATTTTTTTTGTATTTAGTAATATTTTATGCATTTATGATCAATTTATACCAAAATCAGATATCTGTACCCACTTTTTTAATTTGTATTCTTTTTGAATTGAGCATTTTTGAAGCAAAATTCATTTAAAATGCAATAATTGGTAATTTTTTCATATTTTTTATTAATATATATCTTTTTTAGATGTATTTAAGAATATTTGTTTTTTTAATCAATTTATATCAATATATATGATTTTCCAATGGAGTACCTGAACCCGTAGTATGGGCAATAAATAATAATGCCAAATAACGAGTAGGAAGAAAGGAGAAGAATTATCTTTTTTCGCGCTTAATTTTTCATAAACATTTAATATCTTTCAATAATTTTTTTTTGAGAACGAAAGTCATAATAAATAAATATATTAAATGTAAGCTATATTAAAAAAGATTTTATAAATAAAGGTAAATTTAAAAAATATAGGTTGTTATAAAATTGAGTAAGGATTTTATAAAAAAAAATGTAAATAAGGAAGGTTTGCTGCAAAAATTAAGATATTTTATTAGTTGTAGGGATCATTAGAACCAAAGTTATAAACCTTCAAAAAGTGCTAAAAATGACCTTTTTGGCCACTTTAACCTAAAATAAATAAAAAACCTGACGTGCTAGAAAAAAACTGACAGCGGATTTATAATATGCATAAAAAACTGTCTTAAAACATGTTTATTTTATTTTCTCCCAAAAAATCAAGTCGAAATTTGTCACACAGTGTTATTAATTAATAAAACAAAGAAAATAAATTTAAACCAATAAAATAGAAAGAAAATAAATTTAAACCAATGAAATAAGACCTTAATAAACTAATAAAAATAAAGATTAATAAGCCAATAAAAATATAAAATAACAGCAAAATAATTATAAGAAAGATTACATTACAAAATTTAATATAGAAGGTGGCTGAGCGGGAAGAACGCTTGCCTTTAAAACGTTAAGTTATGGGTTCGAACCCCTTTATATACAAAAATTTTTTTTAAATTTAACATTAGAGAGATATAGTCTCCATCGATTTATTTATAATTAAGAATATAGGAAAGTTGATAGGAAAAGTAAAAATTAACATTAAGAAGATAGGAAAAATAAAAATTAACATTAAGAAGATAGGAAAGTTGATGAGAAAAATAAAAATTAACATTAAGGATATAAAAACGTTCATTTCTTGATTACGGTGATTATATATATAGATTTTTTTATAAAAATTGTTATTTGAAAATTTTATATATCGTCGGTCTAGAATTGGAGTGCTCCACTCCACTCGACATTTTCAAAAATTTTGAGTTAGAATAGAAGTGGATAATAACTATGCCCAATATATATATGGTAATTTTTAAAGGGATCTGAACTATCCAGGATCATCACGGGGTTTAAATTTATATATAACTAAAAAATTAGGGTTTTAAGTTAAGGAATGATAATACGGTATTATCACGTTTTAATCGTGATAAAGAGAAATCTTATTTTAAAAAGCGTATTACGCGCGTTTCGTTTTATTTCTTTTTAATTTTATTGTTATTTATTAATTATGTTGTTTTTTGGCTTATGAAATAAGATATGTCTAATATAGGATATCAATCGATAGCTAATCAAAAGATCTATTCAACTAGAAGTCAATCTTTCCCCCATAATGGGCGAGTCTAGGTCTGGTGGGTGAGAATATTTTTATCAAAATAAAATATCGATATGGGTATCAAATAATAGCTAATTTTAATATATTTTGACTGAAAGTCTTCATTCTTGGTCTTGATGTGATGGGTATTACTTGATCTGGGGGGGGGGGTGTAAAAAATAATTTTTTGATATGGGTATCAAATAAAAGGTATTTAAAATATTTTTTATTGTAATAATAATAATAATCACTCATAGAGGGCTGGTCTAGGTCTTAGGGGGTCAGGAATATTTTTATCAACACAAAATATCGATTAAAAGCTAATTTAAATATCTTTAGATTAAAGGTATTCATTTTTTGTCTTGTTGGGTATGACTTGGACTGAAGGGTGGATGGAGAGAGGGGGTGTAAAATGTAATTTTTTTGATATGAGTATCAAATAAAAGGTAATTAAAAAATATTTTTTTTGTAATAATAAGGGTCAGGAATATATCAACACAAAATATCGATATTAATATCAAATAAAAGCTAATTTAAATATCTTTAGATCCAAGAGAAAATTGAAAGAAATTTTTGTTTGTAGAATTTTTATCATTAATCATTTCCTTAAAAATAACAGATATCTTCCAATATAATGAACATTATATTAGATGAAAGAAATAAATTACTCATGACATTAACATTATTGAAAATTTAAAATGGAGATAAAGAAAGAGAGAGATAAGAAAAAGGGAAGCATTTTATAGTGTTGTTAAAAGCTACTTTTAAAAATAGCGCGCTTTACCGTTATTTTACACAAAAGAAGGGCGCTATCGATATTTTTTCAAAAATATAGCGCACTATCTTATGGCCAGTTGAAATATAGCATTATTAGACTGGGTCATATTATCAACTTTCATAAACTCATCTAACTCAAAAACTATTATAGATGCTCTAATTTTTTTAAGGAATTATTGAGCTATACATTAATATTAAATTTGTTTGATATATTACCTTTAAATGTTTTTGCAAGTTGAAGCTACTAGTCTTGTTTGATGATAAAACCTCCGTCACATCTTACAGAAAAATTTATACCCTGGTTAATTATTTTTTATCGAGATTAAAATATTTTGTGAATTTAGGAAAAGAAAATTCCATATCATCATTATTTTCAAGGGATATTACTTTGTCGATATGATCTGTACCAAAATTATTTTCATTATCATTCTCTACTGTCCACATTTAAAATTTTTTATTTTTTTGAAAAATATATTTACAATGCATATTTATAAATGTAAATTTAAAATAAAATAACAAGATTATGATTTTAGAATTAATTATAATATTATACAATATTTTTTATATTTATTTAGTAACGAGCTACCGCTATCTCTTTTTATAAAAAAAGTAGCACGCTAAAGCTATTGATACTAAAAAAAATATATATGGTATAACGCGCTAAATTAAGAAAACTGCAAATTATATATTTCACCTCCAGACCTAGTCATACCCACCAAGACAAAAAATGAATACTTTCAGTATGATATTAAAATTAGATTTTATTTGATACCCATATCGATATTTGTGTTGATAAAATTATTCCTGACCCCCCTAAGACCTAGACCCGCCATCTATGAGTGATTATTATTATTACAATAAAAAAATATTTTAATTACCTTTAATTGATACCCATATCAAAAAAAATTATTTTTTACACCCATTCCATCCACTCCCCAGACCAAGTCATACCCATCAAGACAAAAAATGACTACTTTCAATCTAAAGATATTTTAATTATCTTTTATTTCAAACCCATATCGATATTTTGTGTTGATGAAAATATTCCTGACCCTCCAAGACCTAGACCCGCCCTCTATGAGTGATTATTATTATTATTACAATAAAAAATATTTTAATTACCTTTTATTTGATACCCATATCAAAAAAATTTATTTTTTACACTCCCCCCCCCCTCCACCCACCCCCCAGACCAAATCATGCCCATCAAGACAAAAAATGAATACTTTCAGTCTAAATATATTTAAATTAGATTTTACTTGATACCCATATCGATATTTTGTGTTGATAAAAATATTCCTGACCCGCCCTCTATGAGTGATCAATATTATTACAATAAAAAATTTTATAAATTATCAACATGTTTATTAAATCGTCACAAACCACGGGTCTGTGCTCGGGGTTGTTCAGAGCAGGTTTGGCCAATTTTTTATACCCAAACCCCGGGTCTGGGTTTTACACAACCAACCAATTAACAACACTACTTATGGACTCAAGCTGGGCTTATGAATTTTTTCTAGTATTAGATATGGACCTGGGCCAAAAAATCTTTTTTACTGGCCTTAGCCAAACCATCAAAAAATTAAGGCTCATAAAGGTTTCTAGATTGCCTAAAATTAATATTTAAATTTTAAAAAAATACACATGATATAATTTTCAACAGAATGTGTTTTAATGAAAATTTATCATTTTTATTATACCATTATAATCGAAAATGATAAATCTGCCATTGGTTATAACAAAAATTTTCTAGGCGACTAATATCTAATTTTTTCCATATTTTAAAAACTAATGATTAACTTAAAAAATAATCGTTACTCTACTCATTACTTTCCATAGTAACATTATATTTTCCCTAAACATGGCATCATTAGTAACGACGTTTGATGCTCTTTTTCATATAAGTAACAGGGTAGTGGTAAAAAAATAATTGGCGCGTCTCTGATATTTCCTTACATTTCACTCATTCTAATAAGCTATACAATTCTAAATTTATATTTTTATGTGTGATTTTTACTTATTTGTATTATATTTGATTTAAAGTTTACTAATATTTATTTAACTTATAATTATTTAATGCATATTATAAGTTATACAATTCTAAATTTATATTTTTATGTGTGATTTTTACTTTTTTATATTATATTTGATTTAAAGTTTACTAATATTTATTTTAACTTATAATTATTTAATGCATAGGAACCGGACGCTAATGGGTCATCCAAAACCTCATCGTTGAATTTAAACGCCCTCACTGGACGACTGAATAATTTGTCCGCTCTCCTCGAACGCAATAATACCAGTCTTGGGGTATATATGCATTTTCTAAATAGATCTAGTCATTATAGCATTTTAACTTATTAACCGTCTATTTAAAAAAATATTTTTAACGGGTTAATGAGTATAGATACATATATATATTTGACAGCCGAGTGGGAACGAATACCTCACGGCCAATTTGTCTCGTCTTCTGACCATGTCTTCCAACCCACCACCCCCGCCTCAACTTCACCACTCCCTACCTTCCAACAACATGCCCATGCATTACAACCTAAATCACGAGGCCCATTCAAGTTATTGTGTTTTTTTATAATATCATTTCTTAAATTATATAATATTCATGACACATCTAAATTCCCTTAATATTTTATTATAATAGGAAATTAGTTTAATCTAATCCTTTTTATAATTAATTGACAGGTTTCATTGAATTTTATAATTTTATTAGAAATAATTAAACTTAAGATTGCTTATAAGATATATTTTTGTATTTTATATAATAAAATATCCCCAAGGAAACTGTAAGGCCCTTACTTTTAAATGAGTGAAGTAAGTGGTAGGCTAAAATAAAAATTAAATATACAATTCTTGAAATTTTAATGATGGATGGATTAAATTAAGATAATTCTAGGAATATATTTTAAAAATATTATATTATTAATTTGATTTATATTCAGACATTTTAAAAATAAGCAGATAATTAATATCAAGTGTTGATCTATATCTAACTCCATGACGTCCTTAGCAAAGTTTTTTTATCTTAAAAAATTATGCCAATTTTCAAGTTGAGGCTCAACCTAATAAAAGACAATTTTTTAAGCTAAAATTTGGCTAAACCCTATTGTAATTGGCCAAGATAAATTAATTTTAACAATTTTTCTTAATACTAGAGATACACTGGAATTCCGTGGCTGTTATCTAACGTGCATAAACGCATTTGAATGATAATTTAAGTTTAAAATATTTGATAGAATTAAAAGTGATAAAGAAGAATAAAAAATAGGTATCTTCACCTATTTCCCCTAAACTCTACTTTCACGTTAATTCAATCTTTAATGATTTCAACTTATATTATGCCTGTTTTGTACACATTCCTTTTAATAATCTGATTCCTATAACTTATTTTCATGTTTAAGTTATCTCTCCAAGGCATTTGCATTAGTTAGGGATAGCCGAATACAAATATCGTATCTAATTGCATATTTATAAATAATTATCAAAAATTTCTGAAATCATTTGGATAAGTAAAAAAGAGAGAAAGTCGTTTATTTTAGCTCGCTAGCACATCTGGTTCTCAAGATATAAGGACTCATAGGTACAAAAAAGATCCACTGGAATCTCTAAAATTTTTAGAATGCTTATAAAACTATAGTAAAAAATTTTATAATATATCATATTGTAGATAGGAAAATTCTCTAAAGGGCTATCAAAGAAAAAATATAAATTGGCCCCAATTTGAGTCCTTATCTTCCGGTTTACCTTATAAGAATTTGAGGGTTCTTGAGGATGCAAAAAAACTAACACCTCTTTTTTTCGATTTTTTTTTCTCTAAATCACAGGCCGTCCATTATTGATGGTCATAGATACATGTTATATCTATTTTTTTTATATAGTAAATTCATATTAATATTCGAGTCAAATGCTATATTTGATATTTGCTTCTGTTAGAATAAAATTTTGTTTCAATTTTATCACTAGAAATTGGGTGAAAAATATGAAATATTTGTGTTCCTTATATACGCGCTTTATTGAATCTCTCTTCTAAAAATTTGCTCTTTCTCATATTCATCTTTCATAATATAAGAGAAATCTATTCCTTAATAAAAAAAATATAGAATATATATTAATAAATTATAAATCTAAAAATTTGTTCTTTCTCATAATCATCTTCCATAATATAAGAGAAATGTATTCCTTAATAAAAAAATATAGAATATATATTAATAAATTATATATCTTATACCTTTAATATTTTCCTTACAATTGGAAAAAACTCATTAGGACAAGTTATTTGTTCTAAAACAAGTCTTTTTAAACTAGTCCTGGATGGGTTGCAACACTTTGATATCTGTGATATATAATAAAATAATTGATCTGCACCTAGAATATATGTTTTTGCACTCTTCAAATCCGAATGTTATTGGAAGACGATAAAATAATAAGCTGTAGGATGGTTAAATTATTTAGAATTAATCTGAACGGGCAAGTTAGAAATATTATGAAGAAAGAAAGATCGTTTAACAATAATATTTTTCAACCATTAGCGTCATCTATTTTTTTCAATATTTGGTTAAAATCAAACTCCCTTTTTTGCTTAAAAATACAGGTAAAACAATATAGGTAAACCTGATGTTAATACTCAAATTTACGGCCATTTTTATTTTACTTTGATAGCCCTTAGAGTTTTTTTTAATCTACAATATGATATGCTATAATTTTTTATTATAAAAATATTTGAGATATAAGCATTTTTAAAATTTTACAGTTTCCAAAATGACTCTTTTTTGTACCTATGAGTGTGCTAGCGAGCTAAAATAAACGGCTTTCTCTTTTTTTACCTATCTAAATAATTCCATAAATTTTTAACAATTTTAAAAGCAACCGGTTGAAAATGTGCCTTTTTTGATCGATAATACAATATAGATAAGTGTTATCAGAAATTATATTCAAATTCAACGAATCTTTTATCAAAATTTAAACGCCTTAAAAATATACCTTTTCAGATTTAAACTCACTGCATTCCACACCTCCGCTAAACCCTCTTCAACAACTCCAAGCACCACTTAACGGCCTCAATAATGTTACAGGTGCGCTAATTGATGGTTCTTCTAACTCTCAAATGTTAGCTGGCAATCCTTTCCTCAACATGGGTATGGGCTTAAGTGCCTACCTTCAGACCCACCCGCCACCCCTTTCTTGTTCTTCCTCAATCAATGGAATAAGTTCCAACCCTAAAATGAGCGTCATGAAAGTCAGGTTTATTGTATTTTTTTATTTTTCTCCACCAAAAAGAAGTGCCAGTTAATGATTCATTTTGATTGCCTTAAATTTTTCAATTAATCATATATAATAGATGCTAATTTCAGGCGTTTAGTTGTCTAATAAATTTAGGAATTTTTTAACGTCTAATTTATATTTTTAGTAAATATTTGATTTTTGACTATTGTTATAGGGTTAAATTCGGTTCTTTGGGTCCTGGAAATTTGCAATTCAATTCTCCACATGGATTTTGTTTGGGTGTTGACGAAGAGATTATCGTGGCCGATACAAACAACCACAGGATCCAAGTCTATACCAAAGCCGGTTTGCAATTTTCTTGCTTTGAAACAATGTTTTTAAATATTTTCTCAACTAGGCTTAAACTTATTTTAAAATTTCTTTTATGTTAGGTCGCAGCATTTCTGCTCTACTGAGTATATAAGTTTATTTATAAAATTCTGATAGTTCTTCTAAGAATATTAAACACAAATTAGCACAAAATTGTATAAAAAATTTTAACATATTTATTTATTCTTCATTATAGAACAATACAGCACTAAAGAATATACCCCTCAAAAACGAATTTATTAAAAAATATTCTAATTGTTATCGCTACACTAAGATAAATTTGTAGTTGGATTTTCAGTCAGAATACTGTTTTTAAAGCTTATAATATTTACATAAAGGCGCATTTAAGGGTCAGTTTGGGATCCCAGGACGGGACGAGGGGCAACTCTGGTATCCACGCAAAGTAGCCGTCAACAAGATGAATGGCAAATTTGTGGTTTGCGACCGGGGCAATGAGCGTTCTCGCATGCAGATTTTTGATCGCAACGGAAATTTTTTGAAGAAAGTGCCTATTCGTTACATTGATATCGTGGCTGGGTTGGCCATCACAGAAGGTAAATTACATGTATTATGTTTAATACGAGTTTATTTATATAGCATATGTTACAGTTAGTGTACATACTAATTAGTAAGTTTATAAACTGTCTAGCTAGAGCTGTCCAAAATCGATTTTGATTAAATCGCTATTTTTAGATTTAAATAAAATCTTATAATAAAATGAATCGTTTAAAAAAAATTCCCTAGAGTTAAATAATGAATGTGGCAAAATTAATGATGCATTCATTTTATTACATTGCTTGTGTTATCCTATGAACCTTTGGGCTAAAAAATATTTTAATTATTTTAATGCTTAAACTGGAATTAAATATTCATAAACTGAAGTTGAAAGTAATATTAGTAAAGAATATATATGTTGTATTCCATATCAAATCAACTGAAGATTTAACCCGACCCCCTTCGATTTTTTTAAAAATTTGCATGTTGGTAGTATATACACTAACTAATAAAAATATAAAATTTTACTTTTCAAATCGCCTTACTTCATGAGATATGGCCATCTTTAGAAACGCGGAAATTCCAAAATACACTATATTTAATTTTAAATATCTCAAAATGTAATTAAGCTAAAGACATGATTTAAATTTTAATAAATAGCTCTATAATATGACATATAATTTATTTTATTGAAAAAAAGTTTATTACCAAAAACCGGAAATAACTATAAAATAAAAATTGCTCTTTTTTTCTTTAAAATTTTTTTAACAGATAGACATTATACTTCTTAATATTTGTACAAAATTCTAGATTGGGACGAGTACTGGGTCAATAGTTATTACACTTTAAATATAAGTTATATGGCTTAAATCCTATATTATACCAAATATAGAGTAATTATTTTTATAAAAAGTATGTTAAAAAACTCAAAACAACATTTACCAAATTGTATTGTATTATTTTAAATATAACGCAAAACGCCTTAATTTGGAGGCATTATAAGTAAATAATAATATTTTGTAAAAAGTAATAAAGTAACAACTATGATAGTGTTAACCATCACCCAATATTATATTAATCATAACTATAATATAATATAATCTTATAACCATTAACTCATAATGTAAAAATTATATTAAAAAATATTAAGGCCCGGCCCGGGTTTAACAATCTTAGGCCCGGCCTGGATATATTTAAAAAAAAATTTTTAGGCCCGGCCCGGATATGTTTAAAAAAATTTTACAGAAATTGTATACATCAGAGACCTGCAGGCCCGGACCGGGCCGTATTTTAAATTTTTTAAATATATCGGGGCTGGGCCTAAAAAGATAATCTTTAGGTTGGGGTGAAGAGATTATTGAGCTCACTTTTTTTATTATCATAGTTGTTACTTTATTACTTTTTACAAAATATTATTATTTACTTATAATGCCTCCAAATTAAGGCGTTTTGCGTTATATTTAAAATAATACAATACAATTTGGTAAATGTTGTTTTGAGTTTTTTAACATACTTTTTATAAAAATAATTACTCTATATTTGGTATAATATAGGATTTAAGCCATATAACTTATATTTAAAGTGTAATAACTATTGACCCAGTACTCGTCCCAATCTAGAATTTTGTACAAATATTAAGAAGTATAATGTCTATCTGTTTAAAAAAATTTTTTAAAAAAAAGAGCAATTTTTTTTTATAGTTATTTCCGGTTTTTGGTAATAAACTTTTTTTCAATAAAATAAATTTTATGTCATATTATAGAGCTATTTAATAAAATTTAAATCATGTCTATAGCTTAATTACATTTTGAGATATTGAAAATTAAATATAGTATATTTTGGAATTTCCGCGTTTCTAAAGATGACCATATCTCATGAAGTAAGGCGATTTGAAAAGTAAAATTTTACATTTTTATTAGTTAGTGTATATACTACCAACATGCAAATTTTTAAAAAAATCAAGGGCGGTCGGGTTCGACTTTTTTGGTTGATTTAATATGGAATACAATATATATCGAAATTTTTGATATCCCTTTTAATTTTAATAATATAAAAATGACATTATAGAGTTTATATTAGGGCTGCACTGATCCGATATTTATTTTAAATGGCACCATTACCCATCCGGTAACATTGATGATTATTTGGTCATATAAGATAATGGAATAATGAAAATCTTTATATAAATTTTTAATGTAATCTGAATATTCATTTATCATATGTCTTTAGATTTGTAAAAAGGTTTTTTTATAAAAAGATACATCATAAATAATATCTTATCTTATTAAGATATAGCTTAGAGATTGATTATACATAAAGTTCCATATTATTTCTTTTTAATGATGATCAGAATTTTCACTTATCTATTTTGATCTTAATACAAATAAGGAAATAATATTTTTTAGAAAATTAATAAAATGAGATAAAAAAATTCTCCGAATAAATAAAATATTTTAAAATTTTGATAAAATCAACAAAGTAAAAAAAATTCCTAAATAAAATTGTAATCACTATTATAAACAATAAAAAGTAGTTGATGCTAAACTAAACCTAATTTTCAAAATATTTAGGCTATAACTCTAAACCATATAATTTGTAATGTCATAGTCATATCTCCAGCCCAGTTTTAGTAAAATTTAAGCAAAAAAATTATTATAAAATAAACTAATGCTTAACTATACTATACCCCTAACTTAAATTACCTGCTAGATACCTAGTTTCTGTGATATTAAGCAAAATATTATCATAAATTAACATTTAATTATAATAGTTCATCCCAGATTTTTTTAAAATCATATCATTTGGTCCTGACCATCAGGTGCTTTAAATAAATCTGAAAAATATTTTTCTTTTATAGAATATTCATTTTTACAATTTTACAAATTTTTAAATTCTAGTTTAAAGAAATTATGAAATTATTTATGATTTCCAAGAAATTTTTTATATATCCATTTGGTAAATTTTAATTACAATTACCTTCTAAAATGTTTATTTTTCAATTAGGTGGAAATAATAAGGATTCGTTTAACATAAATTTACTCCTCATATTCTCAATTTCCGTTTTAATTTTTTAACTGATTAATATAAAAGTATTTATAGCCATTACTACATCATAATTTGGTGTCACATTTTCTTTCCAAAATGTCAAAATCTTTAATACTTTTTATGCTATAACTGCTACATTATTAAGTATCAAAGCTAACCCTTAATTTATCGAGTCCCTATTTTATTTACAAATGTAATTTATATTTTAAATGTTTTATTCAATCGCACAATCAAAATATCTTCTAAAATATCATCCTTGAGATTCACGTAAATTAGACAATATATGAAAATTCACGTTCTACCCTTACCCAAAATAGATAGTTATCTTTATAAAATTATTGTATTTGTGTCGCCGGTACAGTCATGAAGATTCTAGATAAGATATATAATTCTGAATATATTGAAGAATTTTCTTCCCAGAATTTTAAAATATTTGTATCCTTATTTATTCTCTTAACTTCTGAGAACTTTTCTATTAAAGATGCGATAGACATTTTTTGATCCTCCTTTCTATCTGATGATAATTTGATTTTTTTTTCTCTATCTAAAAGTAAAATTTCAAGATAATCACTGTTGCTATCATAATTATTATTATCATTACAACCAGTAGGTATTGTCGTAGCCTCCAATATATTGTAAATAATGGAGTTTTGCGTATGCCATAAATCCTTAAGAGGGTCTTTAGCTATTTGATTTTGCTCAATACAAAACTTTTTTTTTTTAATATTTAGTATAAAAAGGACTATTAATTTTTTTTAATCTAATCCATATGCCATAAAATAAACAATAATGTTCTGATTGTAATTTAAATATTGTTATTAAGGAACTAATACACTAGTAAGGTCCTTATGGCGCCATTCATCTTCCGACAAAATGACTTCACATGCTCCTATAATAAGATCATTACAGAAGTCTTTCAATCGCTCTAGAATCATACAATTTGAGGACCAACGTGTTGTGCCTTATCATTTAAATAATAATATTATTACTTGCACTACAAAATAATTCACTTTCAAAATAATCAACGTATTTCTATAACATAGCATATTAATAAATTTACATTAAAAAATATTACACTGGAAAATAATTTATGATATCAATCTCTAAATAAAATGGAAGTCCAGGGAAAAAATTGAAAGAAAAACGCGAATATTTAATAAATGATTTCACAAAAAAGTTAATAAAATTTTAAATAATTTATAATATTTATTAAAAAAATATTTTTATTTTTAAAATTTTTTGTGACACCTAGAACCCTTGGACCCTCTACTTTTAAAAAGGGTTCGGGTACAACCAAAATACGAGGGTTCGGGTTCACATCCCTGATGGAAATCATATAAAAATAATGTTTATATTTACTTATTTTCTTCAAAATAAAATTTAAAAATAATGTTTATGACAATTGTCATTTTTCTTTATTTCCATTTTTACTGAAATCATATAACATTTATTTTGGCAATTTGCAAAATTCGAAAGAAATTGCAACTTAAAAAATTTATTTTTTGGCAGCAGGGTATTATTTCTGATATTTAAAAAAATTATTGAGAGAATTATTTTCTACTTTATATTTTTTAAAATCGAAAAATCGGGAATTTGCCATTTTCATTTTAATTAATAGCAAAAACAAATTAAATATTATAATTAAAATAATAATGTTAAATGTTTTTCTTTATAAAGATAAGAGTTTCAAATTTATGTGATAATAAGTTTCCCCCATGTTGACTATATCTAATGCTGTTTAGTAGTTCGATTTGATTTTTAAACGGCGAACTCAATATTTTATCCAGAATATATTACGCAAGCCTAATTTGGACGTCTATTAGCGAAATATCTAGGCTTAGGCGATATTTTTCTGGTTAAAATATTAAAGTCGTTTTTAAAAAAAGGCTCAAGTTGAAACAATTAATAACACTATATCACCAGCTGTGTCGCAGACTTTTTCTGATAGAACATTTTCTGCAGGAAATGCGAGATAGCTAGGTTCAAGGTTTGAAAAAGTTGAAAACCTTTGACCATTAGCCCTCCAATAACCAGGAGGATCATCGGAGATAAAATATTGTATCTATGTTTATTAATCAATGAAACAAATGGAATAAATAGTAGACAAATAAAAATTTGGGTAATTTCCTTTTTTATTTGTTTATTAATATATTTATGAGAGTTATGAAGATTTATTAGGAGAAGAAAATTAGTTCAAAAATAAAATAAACAATGTGTATAAAATATACATAAAATCAGCATCGGTTAAATTTTTAAAAAAATATTGACTGATCCAATATTGGCGCCGATCATAGCCCTATTTTATACCAAAAATATAATTTAGGAACAGGAGTGCAACACAGGAAATGATTTATAATAATTAAAAAACTGAATATTTGAATCATGATTTTTATTTAAGTAAATCATCGATATTTAATTATGCCAACTTTTAGACCCAGTCTTTTTATTGGTGATTGATTAGAATAATTTTAGGAATTTACCAAGATTTAATTTTTATATAAGTTCCATTTGGATAACCTTTTTTATATTTAATTTTTGGTAGACTAGTTTTTTCAATTGGCTGACTGGTCAGGTTATTTCAAATTATAATCTCACCTCTTAGGCTATTCGTTATGTTATTACCTCATTTTTTTAATACAATTCACTAATATTATTTCACATAATATAGTTGGTTCCCCAGGTGGTGCAGGACATATTGTAGCAGTAGACAGTGTAACGCCCACCGTTTTTCGCATTGCCGAAACTGGAGACCTATTACACTGGTTTGATTGCAGTGAACAAATGCGTGAACCCTCAGACGTGGCCGTTCGTGGCGATGAGTACTATGTGTGTGACTTCAAGGGGCATTGTGTTGCCGTGTTTGCAGAAAGTGGACGTTTCCTGCGCCGTATAGGCCGCGAATCCCTCACCAACTTTCCTAACGGCATTGACGTGAGTGAGGGTGGCGAGGTACTCGTCGGCGATTCGCATGGAAACCGCTTTCACGTTGCCGTTTTTCGCGGATCGGATGGCGCCTTCGTGGCTGAATTTGAGTGTCCACATGTCAAGGTAATTATTTTGAATAAATAAATGCAGGACAAATTTTATATTTGCATGCAAAATAGATGGGTATTATATTTTGGTATTTTATGAAATCTTGATTCTAGGTGAAAAATATTTAGAATATTAAAACTTCCCTATGGTTTCCATTAGGGTTGTGCCGATATTAAATATTGGATCGGGTCTATATCTGTAAAACCCGATCCGATCTTTTTACCTTTTTTTAAATTTATGTTATGTTTTATTTTACATTAATAATATTTTCGAAATAATTTTTTTTTAACAATGCAAATGCACAACACTACTTATTTATTTTTATAGTATTTTAATTTTTTTTAAAAAATATAAAGGACCCAAAGTTTTATTTATAACCCTCTATTGTGTACATCATATATGAATACACATACCAAAAAGGTATAAATTTTTATATAAAATTTTTTATAGTTTAATACACATGATGTATGATAGATACACATATATTTTATTTATTTCTAGTTAATTTTGTCAAAAATGAAAGACAGCTATCAATATAAAAATTATAAAATACATAGTTTACAACTTAATAGTTGCATTTTTCCCATTTTATAAATTATGCCATTTCTCTTGTACAAATTTTTAAGGAACAGGAAGTTAAAAATCCTATTAAATAAAGGTAATAGAAATTTTTTATATATAAATAGATTGTTATATTTAGTGTTGTTAAATGGCTCGTTTTGAGCCGATTTTTAAAAACGGCTAACTCGAACAAAATCTTCAAGCTTGCGTAATATTTATCTGGTTAAAATAGTTATATTCATTAATAGTGCTTAAAATTTAAATTTTTTGGTACATGTACTCAGATACATAATGCACACAAATGCAATATGAATTTGGGCTTTTTGATTATTTTTTTTATTAATAAATGTTCTTTATTTGCTATCTATAATCAAAATGTACTGTATTCCAGAAAATAGTTCTGATTCTAATTAGTGGCTCATCAGATAAGGAAATTCTTGATTCAAGATCAGCAGATGTTTATTCAAGCGGAAATGCGGTATTTTAACAATTGGTTACCACTACATTCCAATTTTAAATTGTGTTTTGTTAATTGGTTCTGTGGTATAGAACTTCAAGTATTACTCGCCCAAAAGGGAGTATTGCTACAGAGAAAGCTAATAGAATTCATAATTGCCAGTTTCCAACTGAAAAAGAATTCTAAAAGATAAAGCATAGATTCACATAAGATCACGTAAATGGTATCACCGTATAGTATTCCATATACTTGTTATGATGCTCATAAATCTTAGTTAATGTATAGGCAAGATTTTGTAGCTTTAAAGGTACCGGTAAAAGAACAGATGCCATTATTAACATTTAAAATTTCAATAGCAGATACTCTGTAAATGTAACAAAAATATGAACGCTAGCGTAAAAAAACGATAAAAAAATCTACAAGTCTTATTACGCACAAAGAAATGAGACAGGATTCAATAGCACATTGGCCAAAATATAGTAAAAAGGCCCTGGCTCTAAATTGGTTACGAAAGTTATTTGTACCAAATATGGTGTATCATTATGTTTTACTACAAAAAACGATTGTTTTAAATTATTTCATGAAAATTAATATAAATTTGTTTTATTAAAGGTTTTAAATTGAAAAAATATGATACTTTTTTCACACATTGTGTATTTAAATATACACACTGAAATTTTTTTTACGGTTTAAAATTTTTTTTTTAGTTTAGGGCTTTTTAAAGACAAAAATAAGTTTTTGTAAAAAATTGTACCATTTATTGATATGTCGCGCAATAGAGGGTTAAATAATAACCTTTAAATAAAAGAATTTTTTTTAAAAAAATCTAATATATTATAATTTTTTATATTAAATATTACAATTTTTTATATTAAATATTACAATTTTAAAATTTATACCAACATAAAATGGATATATTATTAAATATATTTATTTTATCTATTATAATATAATATTTTTAAAATTATTGTAGAAATAAAAAAATTAAATTAAATGCATAATTTGATTTTTTGCATAAAAAATATTGATTTCTTAATTGCATTTGGTTAAAAGGGGAGAGGTGAAAAATCAATTTGGTGAAAAATATGTGGACCGGAACAGCCCTCTTGTTTGTGCTTTGGCATGTTCTTAAAGATTGTTATTTCACATATGTATCCACCCTTGATAGAGGATCTACTCTATTTAAAATGTCATGTAAATTATCTTCATATTCTTTGACTGTTTCGGGTTCGTAATGTTTTACTATTTAAAATTATTATGAACATAAAGGTTAGTCGATGTTGTGGCCTTAAAATCACGTCGGAGGGCCACGTCGTCACACTCGCCAAGAACAACCACTACGTCCTTGTGTTAGACACGCTTTTCGTTCCTCCTTAGTTAACGGGCAAGTGTAATTCAAAATATATAAATTTTTTATTATATAGTTCATTATTTTCCAATTTATCCTATACATACATTTCCAATTTATCCTATACATACATTTCCAAAAAATCCAAATTTGATGAACACATTTAAATATAAAGTGTTTTAATTGATCACAATTGTTAGATGGAAGTAACGTTTGTTATATGCAAAAATTCAATAAAGGAAATAAAAGATGATGTGTTTTTGAGTAGTGTTATTAAACGACTAAGTCAAGTTTCTAGTCGAAAAATCGACTTTGACATGAAGCGGCTCAAGTCGATTTTATATATAAAAATGTTATTAAATTATATATGAGTTCATAAAAAATTATTCAATCTATTCAATATTAAATTTAATAATCCTCAAAAAATGTCTATCATATTTATTTAATAGTAGTCGAGTTAATTCAACTCAGAGTCATTAGTCAATTTAGTGGACTAACTTAGTTCACAACTCGAGTTATGTCGTGAACTATTTTAAATCGTCATTATTAGCTATAAAAATCATAAATAAATAAAATATATTTTAAAAAAATCGGGGCTGGGCCTGAAAATTTTTTTTAAAAAAAATCTGGACCGGGCCATGCTAATGGTACCTTTGCAGGTCTCCAATATTTACTTAATCCTATAAAAATATGGAAGCAAATATAGATGTCCAACTCATGTAAAACGGCTAACTCAATATTTTCTTCAGAAAAATATAACATAGTCTCGAGATTTCGCTAATAGATTTTTAAATCATTGAATGCTATCTATGAGTTAAATCATAAAGCGTGTATAATATTTTTCTGATTAAAATATTGAGTTTACGTTTTTCTTAAAAAAAGCCCAAATTGATCGATCCGTTTAACATCACTAAATACTGTTATTAATTTGCTTGGTCGTAAAATTTACACCACAATTTGGTGCTTAGGCTTGCTCTGAGCACTAATCAGGGCACAGGCCCATTTATTTTAAGTTCTTTTTTATTGACAAAAGTATATATGGTTAATAGAAGTATCAATTGATTTCGATATCAATTTACAAGATCTATTTGGACGAGGAGGTTCAGGAATATTTTATACTCATTATCACATATAAAGTATTATTGGGTATAAAATAAATTAATGAATTAGTATTTTCATACACTTCATTTTATTCAAAAAATTGCTTTCTTTTCACTTATAAATTACAAATAATACATTTATTTTACCTTTTTTATAAGATTTCGGAGATATAATGTTATATATGATTTTTTTTATATTAATTTAATTGTTTTTAGTTACATTATATATTTTTTTTATAATATAGTAATAATATTTCTCCAAATTACCAAATAAAAATAAATAACTTAAACTAAATATTTTTTATAAAACTCAAAAGAATATTGTTCTGACTTTTTTTATATTTAAAACATCTATTTTTAAAAAAGAATGTTAGATTTCCGAGATCAGAATTAGTTTAGAAAATTTAATATTGGTGAAATGAAAAATAGTGATCTCATCGGGCTTATTTTTTCAAGCCCGGTCTGGCCCAAATTTTTTTAAAAATATTTCCTGCTAAATATTGAGATATTTTATATTTTTTGGTTTAAAAAAAATATTCTTCAAATTTATGCAAGAATTTTAAAGATTACTATTAGATTGTATAATTTTTTATGAATTCTTATATAAAATATAATTTTAATATATAAATCGGCTCATAAAGGCACTCGAGTCTGAACCGTTCAGAGTCGAAAAAATCGACTAATTAACAACACTATGTTTTAGCCTTACGTTTGTTAATTTTTTCAATACTATTCTTTGAAAAATTTACTTATATGAAGCTATAAATCGTATAAATTTCATATTAAATGGAGTATTTTCATAATTTAACAATTATAATATATTTTTTTTAAATAAAAAATATAGATTACAAAAGAAATAATAGTTACGTATAAATACCATTTGTTCATCAGATTTAACGGAGCCCACCTACCGCAGAATTTAATTCTAATTGTTTATACATTTGTTGAATTTTAACTTTTTCATATTTTCTCTTGATTATATTGTAAATTAAATATATGAACCCTCATAAAACCCTCAACCACCAAACAAATTTTTTATATATTATCCTCTGCTTTTTTGTTGTTTAATGCGTTTATTGTATTATTCATCTTTTACTAAAAATCCCACGATTCATAATTAACAACATATTATTTAAAGGTAAGAACTGAATTTTATATCTAATCCAATATTTAAATATAAAATTTTTGGGGGTCATAGTTCTTTTATTTATATTTTACACATGGTATTTTAACCCTGTATGATTTAAAAAAATATTTAAATTTAACATTCATAATAATATTTTATAGGTAAAGATATTTTTTTTGCAAATTTTATATTTTTTATGTTTTTTTACAGTTTTTAGAATCTTTACATTTTAAAAAAAATATATTTTATTATAAATTTCTTTAATTTATACACAAAAGAACTTTTTTGATATCCAATTTTATCAATGATTATAATTACTAGCTGTGGGTTCGTCACTGAGAAATGTTTGGTCTGCTTGTGATGTGCATTGCAGAATTATTATAGTTCGGTAAGAATGATTTATTAGTTTCTTGCATTTTTATAGAATCAGTTGTCTATTGATTGATTCTATTCATTAGTATCATTTTATCTTTTTTATATATAAACATAATGTTGCCTTATATTTCAGCTAATATGTTTATATTTTTTTCAAACAATTTTTCCCCTAATTTCATTCACCATTATTATACTACCTTCGCTTGTATTAGTTATTTATCCTTGCTTAGTCGTAAATAATATTGAAGCAGCGCGTTAATTTGTCCGAGATCAAGTGTTCTCTTATTTTAAAATTCCATGGTGCTGCATATATAATCCTATTTTATAAAAATTATTATATGCGCGTTTAAATTATTAAAACTTTGAAGTGTACACTTTAATTTAAAAAAAGTTAAATCTGCCCTTTATAGATGCTAAATATTTATAAGATGGCCATATTCTTTTTTAAAACTTTTACACGCTGCTTGCATCTATTTACATACACAAATTTATTTTATATAAAACTTTTACACTTTTTCTTCCAAAATGCACCCCTCTTTTATCTTTTATTATAGTCTTTCCTTCAATTCCGGTTATATATATATCTCCCATAATTTTTTTTACCACTCGCGACTAAACATATGGTCAAGATATTCTTAAAATCGTGCATTTATAATATATAACAAACTGGGTTTATTTTTTGTTACTAAAATTAATAGTATCCATCCTTTTACTATTTGTTACCAATGTAACTTTTCTTTTAGCCTGTTTAATTTTTTTTTAAATTTTCCTTTATACATACCTTTTTTTGTTTAAAAAAAATAATATTAATATACTCTCCCAGTATTACATTAAAAAAAGAAATAGAAATATATTTTTCCCCCATATATATTTTTTTATTCAACCCCTTTTTTAGAAGACAATGTCAAAAAATTAATATTTAAAAAAAAGAGATTCATTTTAATAGACATGATTGATGATATAGATAATTACATATTATATTATTAAGCATTTTTTTTGTCTCAAAACAAAACGCAGGTGAAATTATTTTTTCTTTTTGAGGGGGGGGGGGTGCACATCTTTTTTTTGATCGATGAAATTGTATATAATTGGGATTTTAAGATAAAATTTACTTTATCATTGTTATCCGAGAGCTTTTTTTTATACTCTCCCTTCCCCCGTTTTAAATGAAAAATATATATAAAACACAATTGCAATATTATTTACCTTTTTTCCAATATTTTTTATACTAATAAATATACAAAAAATATATATACATATATACAACACAAAATTGATTTGTTTTATGTTTTATTTTTTTTAAATTTCGAAAAAATTTTATATTAAATATTTTTATGTACACAAAACGCCGCAAAAAAGCGCCTTTTTTGTTTTTTGAAAAAGGAGAAAGAAAGAAAATAAATTTATATTTTAATTTTGAAAAAAAAAACAACGAAAAGAATATGTATGTATTATAATAAATAATAAAACGAAAATTTTTTTTTAAATATCTTTATCACACAAGAGCGAATACGAAATAATCACTCAAAAGTTTTTATAACCACTTTTTTTACACTTTACTCGTCAGCCAATGATATAAACGTTATTTATTTTTTCACCCTCATTTTTACCTTTATTTTTTTTGGTTAACGCTTTTATGCACATTCATTAACACAATTTACCAAACAACTCATCTATTTTTTTAGTTAAATTAATCGGGAAATCGATTGAGCAATCCAATATTTTACGTAGCAAATTATTGTTCGTTGCTTTTTCTTGTTTATTGGATTATGAAATTTATAAACGGAGAAAGATTAAATTATCCGGTTTAACACCCATTTATTTAAAGCTTAATATTCATTTACACGAAGTCAAAATTAATAGTTTTTTTAAATTTGAGGACCCGAGATTTACAAATATTTTTATATTTTCAGCCCTTTTTATGATAACAATCCAATTTTTTGTTCATACTAATATATATTTTTTAAAACGTAAATCTTAATTTTCCACTTACATATTTGCTAACTTTAATAAATTATTTTTAAAAATAATTCCTTCAAAATTTATAATATTGTTATATATTTCAAAATTGTTTTTAATTTTCGTATATTTTTTCTTCTCACAATTATATATGATAAATATTAAAAATATTTTTCTTTTTTTACGTTTATTAATAGGTTTAAATTTAATAAAATATTTTGAAATTAAATTTATAATTGCAAACACAATTTGCAACAAATGTTACTGGACCATAAATTATGAAAAATTTTTCCATGATTCGATTCTTACTTTCATTGGTTTGTTTTGACTTGTATTAAAGGTCTGCAACTGGGTTAAGTTAAAAAGTGAGAAAAATATTTTCTTGAAATAATGTGTGGATTGATTTGAAATATTTTGTATGCGGGATAGACATGTTTAATTTTTTTTTAAATAGTCTATTTCACGTCCTTCAAACGTAACAATTTCCGACAGTGTCTATCCTTTATATATTTAGGTTCGGCTGAGGTTCCAGGAAAAAATATGTGTTTATGTTTGATTAAGGTTCAACATTTATAAAGGTTCAAAAATCTTTATTGATTCATATAGGTTCAATAATTGATTCTAAAATAATGATGGAGTATAGGATATTCACTGGAAGCACCCCTCCCTCCCCTAAAAATGTCAACACCTTCGGCAGTGATATTATCACATTATTAATTGCACGTTTTTAATTATGGTATTCCATATATTTTATCAAATAAAAGAATATCTTAAATAAACCCCAATATTCAAGTATTATTAATATATTTTTTTATAATTCATATCTAAATTTTTAAAATATTTACCAAAACAATCAAATAAAGGAAAATCATGGCACAAAATACTAATGATATAATTAATAAAATTCTTTTAGAAATACAAATAATAATTTTAAATCTGAAATATGGGCTAAATTTAACATCATCATAGATGAAAATAAAAAACATTGGCTACGTACAATGTAAAAATTGTTCAAGTATATTTTCTTAAAATTATAAACATGGTACACCACATTTAAAAAGACATAAATGTGATGGTAAATCCATGAAAATCAATAAAAATTTTTTTACACCTGAAAAACCAACCTATAAATGTAATATAAAAATATTTTAAAAAAAAATTTATAGATCATTCCTTAACACTTTGCGCAAAAGATATTAGACCTTTCGAAATGATAGCTTTTTATGGGTTTCTTGAATTCAGCCAGGCTCTAGTCGATGTTGGGGCAAAGTATGGTAAAATAGATATCAACTCATTGTTTCATATCCCACCACTCTATCACGCCACCTTAAAGAAAAATGTAATAAAATAAGAAACATTTTGGTTGATACTATTGCCCCAGTAATCAAGAATCGATTTATGGCTGCTTCCACTGATATATGGAGCGATGACCATAAAAAGAACTCGTTTGTAACAGTTAACATGCACTATATATCAGATGACTGGAAGTTAGTGAAGAGAAACCTATTTACCGCTAAATTTAAAGAAGTGTCAAAGACTAGCAAAGTAGTTAAGGATGAACTATTAAAAAATTTTCATAATTTTAATTTTAACACTAACGATTAATATAATATTTGTTACAGACCAAGGTAAAAATATTATAAAAGCATTGGAGTTAAATGAACGATTAAATTGTTCTTGTCATATATTAAATTTAACTTCAAATATTTGGAAAGTAATGCCTCATTAATAAAATCAACAATAGATAATACTAAAATATTAGTGGGGCATTTAAAACAAAGTAATAAATGCCAGCATTTGAAAGCCCTTTATCAAGATATAGAAGTCCGCTGGAACTCTAAATACAATATGCTCAATTCTGTTTATTCTCAAAATGAAGAAATTATAAAAGTTCTTCAAGAACATGGGGAATCGGAAAAGTATTATATTATAGACTTTCCGATCCTTCAGGATCTAGTCAAAATTCTTGAGAATTTTAACAGAGCTATTGTTGAGTTACAGTCGGACTCTTGTACTCTTTTTAAAGTGGTAATTTGGTATTATGAACTTCTTGAAGTTTGTAATACCTTTCAAAGCGAAAAGGAGAAATAAAATTGATTTTACTTAATATAAAGCATTTTTTAATTGAAAAATTTGTTTTACACAAGTATCCTTTTATTTCTCTTTTTCTTTGTCCCAAATTCAAGCAATTAATGTTGTCAGGGACAGATCGCAAGATGACGGAAAACTATATTAAAGATTATATTAAATTACAAGAGGCTCAGGAAGAAAATGAAATACCATCGATCAGTCAAATTACGACTGTTGTTAAACAAACTGAATCGTTTTATGACAAATGGAGCGATGGTAATTCTGGTAATATGTCAATACCCGATGATGAATATTATAATTACATAAATAAAAAAATAGATGAAACCTTTAAGGTGGATAATTTGTTAGAGTGGTGGGCGGCTCATCAAAGCGAATTTCCAATTTAAGAAAAATTGGCAAAACGGGTATTGGCAATTCCTGCTTCAAGTGCAAGCTGTGAGCGGAATTTTTCCACTACTGGGAGAATTCTTGAAGAAAGAAGAAGTAATCTTCAACCTGAAAAGGTAGATATGCTTCTCTATCTTCATGATAATTTGTGAATTTTTAATATCTTTCTTGAGTATAGGGTTTCGTCAATCATGTTGGTTTTTTACTTTGCAAACTGTCAAATATTTATTGCATTTATTATATTTTACCTTGAGTCATTAAAGTTTTTAATCCAACATTTTTCATTATTTTTTTTTACAATATTATATAATACAATTATCTTCTTTTGTTAAAAATTTATATTATAAAATAAATCATATTAATATTGTGCAATTAGATAATATTTTCAAAATACTATTTATTATACATGCATTATTTTAAATAGCGATTTATTTTTATTTTATAAATTAAATAAAATATATTATATTCTCAAAATATTTTCCATTTTTATAAATTAAATATTAGTTTTATTTTTTTTAAATGCAATATAAAATATAGTATATGCTCAAAATATTATTACCATTTTTATGAATATTAGTTTTATTTTTATAAATGCAATATAAAATATAGTATATGCTCAAAATATCCATTTTTATAAATAACAGTTATAATTTTTATAAATTCAATATAATATTCTCAAAATATTAGCTTTTTACATGTATTTTTTAAATAATAAGAGATAATACTCGCTGAAAAATATGGTAAAATACCTCATAGGTGAATTTTTGTATATACCAGGTCGAATATAATTTTAAAATATTCAGAGCGTAAATAATTTTTTTAAAAATATGGGCCGGGTCGGGCCGTAAAAATTTTAATATCCGGGCTGGGCTAAAAATTTAAAGCCGGGCCGTGCAAATGGTGCCTCTGCAGGTCTCTGAGATATATTAAGGAATATTTCTTCTAATTTTATATAAATAATTAAAGTAAAAAATTTGGTATTTTTATTAATGATAAAATATAGAGTTAAAAATTAACATTTAAAGGATAATTATAAGCATAGATTTTTAAAGTCCAGGAAAGTACTATTTGATTAGGAAGAAAAATTAAACAATATTCTTGAGCAGAGAAAGAATGGCACGTAGAGGATATTTTTCTTGCAAGATTTTCACAATGGGCCACACCTTTCGCTTTAGTTATAAAAAGATTTTATTTTGCGAGTGTGCCGATTATAGGCTTACAGCAAATCCACAATTAGAAAAGTTTGAATATCCTTTACCAAGGCTAAGGGATAATATTGCTAAGGTTGTTAATGAAAAGTTATTTTCTAAGATAGATTTTTCTTCAGTTTATTTATAAATACCTGTTTCTAAGACATTAATTAAAATTGTCTATAACAATTCAAAAGATAACCTTTTGAGCTGACATTTTCAACTTAATATTTCCAAAAAATTATTTATGAAATATTTTCTGTCATGAATAGGGAAATATTTTATTTAGATGATTGGTATTGTAACGATGCTGAGGATCACTTTAATAAATTATGTGTATTCGAATGAATGGCAGAGTTTGGCTTAATAGGAAATATTGAAAAGCGAAATCGGTAAAGATGCTATTAAATATTTAGGTTACTTAATTAATAGTAAGGACATACTGCCAATTTAAAAAAAATTGAAAATTATGAAGATGACTGAACCTAAGAATAAAGTTGAGTTACAGGCATGGTTTATATTATGAATTATTGTTCCAGGTTTATGGAAGGATTCTCAAAATTGGCAAATAATTTATACGATATCTAAAAAAGGAAAACAATTTTATTTGGGTATTATTGAAAGAGGCTTTAACGAAATCAAAAACAGATTGTTTAAAGCGCCAACCATATTGCATTATAAGAGAGAGAGATAATGAATGGTATATTTTATAAGGATATAGGAGCAATAATGTTCCATGTTAGGATAGATGGTAATGCGAGACCTATTGAAAAAATAAAAACAATTATTTTTAATTTTTTTAAAGGAAAGATGTCTATCGTATAGTCAGGTTCTGAAAAAAATCCATTAAGGAAGAAGAATTCGCACTAGTTTTAGGAGTTAAAAAATGGAAAGAATATATAGTCGATAAGGGTTTCCACAAACCTCTACTAATCCCTGATATATTATCGAGATTAATTAACAATGATACCATGTTGTTTTTTTGATTGGGATGATGATAAGAATATTATTAATAATTTTGATATAATTTTAAAAAGCTACATTGGTAGACAGACCTTATTAAAGTTAAAAGATTATCGTTATATAATTGTGTAAATAAATCTGATGTTAAAGATTATAGAACACATATAAGTGAATTAAAAATGACTGTGTTTTTAAGTGAAGACAAATAATTATTTCTTAAGAGCTAAAAAGTTGATTAAATGAGTTACAAAAGGGATGTGTTGTTGGTTTATTCAAAATGATAAATACAATGAAAAATTATTTTTGGTGGCCAGAAGTTATAAAAAACATTAAGGAAATGGTTTATAGGTGCAATGATTTTTTCATAAGAAACGTTTTTATAAAATTGGAGATAGAATAAATAAATACAATTCCGCAAAACGTTTTTGGTTTCAAGCATGTCCCCTTGAAAAATCTATCGCATTTGGGTTCTCCCATTGG